ACTGTATATATATATATATATATATATACAGTAAATATATATATACAGTATATATATATATATATAGTATGATTTTTTTTAATTAATACTTATTCAGCAAGGATGCATTAAATTGATCATTAATAATCTTACAAAAGTTTATATTTTAAATAAATGCTGTTCTTTTGAACTTTCTATTCATCAGTCCTGAAAAATCATGATTTTTATACAAAAATATTAAGCAGCATGTGACAATGTGACACTGTCTTGTCAGTGTGAAAATTCACCATTGCATCACTGGAATAAATTACATTTTAAAATACATTAATATTGAAAACAGTTATTTTAAATTCTAATAATATTTCACTTCTTGTCCATGTTATTTTGAAAAAAAAAACATGCCTGGAGGAAGATGAGTAATTACTTATATAAAGAGATTTGGCAGGTGGGGTTCATTTTCCTACAAAAACAAACAAAACAAAAAAAACCAGACCAGCACACAATATGCGGGAGAATAAACAAACAGGTCTTTTGCATGTATTTACATACGTTTGCTGGCGCTCCTACAGCAGTCAGTGCTGATATCATCGTTTACACAGCACAGTAAAGCACTTTATGTGAAGGATTTATGTACAAACATGCATCAAGATTCACTATAGCACATAAACCCTGCAAATGAATAGGGAATCTGGGCAGTGTTTAAGCTTGTTTTCCAGCCAAGGTGAACCCTTTCACTTGGAACCGTCTCAGAATGATCTTGCTCTATTTGGACATACTGACAGCATGCAGAAAACAGGCTGTTTTCCAGTTCAAGAGGAGCTGCTCTGTTGAGCCATTACACTGTTATTCCACTTCACTAAATGTCCTTGAGTGAGATCTTTTTAGCTCTCCATGTTGGCATGGTAAACACATTCTTTACTCCGCTCTCAGTGTTAGATGGGGGGTTTCCTCGGGTGACCAGGGAAGCCTCTCTCCCCCCCAGCACAGTTTGAGCCAGCTCTCCCAGAAAGAGCGGTTCATCCTCGGACACACTATGACCACAAATCAGCCCCCTTCCAAATCTAGAGAACCCGTCCGGCCGACAAACACAAGGCACAAAGAGCATTCAAAATCTGGTGAGAGACGCTTTGTCATGCATTTTGATTAAACAATAATAAACTGTCAACAGATTCAGCCATGAAAGTACCGAAGGTTAAAAAACACATTTAAGTAAGAATTACATGGCACATATTTGACTGTTATTTATTCAACTTCTTGTGGTTTTAAACCTGTGTGACTTTTTTTTCTTTCGCAGAACACAGAACAGAACTTTTGAAGAATATCCTGCCATTTCTTTTTCATATAAAAGTGAATAAAGACTGGTGTTGACAGGCTTCAAAATGACAAAAACGGCACTTTAAAGTTATCATAAGTTATCAGTCGTCCATATGACTTGTGCATTATATTTTAAGTCATCTGAGGCCATATGATTGCTTTGTGTCTAAATAGTCATTATTCACTGAAAATCCATCTCTCTAGTAAACCTATAACTGCTGAGACCAAATCAGCGAGTTGAACTTTTGAACAAATCATTGAGACCAGTTTTGTGAAGTGGATCAAACGAATCATTGAAAAGATTTGACTAAATTAATGTTGAATGATTTGTTGACTGACTGGATGTCACTTCTTCTCTCATGCAAAGGAGAGCTAGAGTGGATGTCAAGATTTTCAGTGAATACATTTCAGTCTGTTCCACATGCAAAGCTATCATATGGCTTCCAAAGCAAGTGTGTGAGTTACATGGACCTCTTTTACGATACTTTTTGGTGTTTTTTTTAACACTCCAGTCCACATTCAATTGTACAAATTTAACAACAAAAAAACATCTTTTGTGTTCACAGAAGAAAGTCATACAGGTTTGGGACGACTTGAGGGTGCATAAATGACGGCAGGATTTTCATTTTTGGATGAACTATTTCTGTAAGCTGGACATTACTCCCTGCAACGTCTCTGCCGAAAAGGTCTGATTTAATTTAGTCTAGAAAGAGGCCCATAAAAGGTATGAACCATCATCTGAGAGCAGCATGAGTTTTATCTGTCACATGAAGGTTGTCCTGTTCTGCTCCAGTGGAGGAAAACAGTTCCTCTCGCCCATAAGATGCAGTTAAAGAGGGGCTGGGAGCAGTGGTGTGTCTGTCAGGCCTGCTCTGTTTCCTGTGTCCCCTCCAT